TATGTTGCGCTAAGTTCCTTGTATAAATAAGATGGCATCCTGAGATTTAACTGCAGTTGGAATTTAGCAACATCTTGCTTATTCCATAATCCATAGGGCTCCATAATTCTAACCCAGTATCTTTTGGATAAATTTGGTTTCACTCTGGTTCTTCTTGTTTTTCCATCTTTGTGATTTTCTTTTCTCAGAAGTCAATGCAGGCTGATTCACATTTTTGGAGACAGTTTTGCAGTCTTCCCTTGTAAAAATGGGGTTTGCATAATATTTTCCAAAATATACCTCTGTGTGTGTGTGTGTGTGTGTGTGTGTGTGTGTGTGTGTGTGTGTTACTAATATGCACATTTTGGGTGATGCTTTCAGATAGGAGAACTCTATTACAAAATGTATAAAAAAGGTGTAAGTGACCGCGTTGCACATTAATTTGAAAATGCAGATTAGGTAAATTAAATTAAAATGCAAACTCGATAAATGTTTATATTCCTAATGTTTTTAAACAGCTCTAGGATCCAAAAGCTGTTGTCTCCTGAAGCAACTAATTATAGAGAAATGCCCCGCCGGCCTCACCTCCCTGTTAATGCATACATTTTCTCTGAATTTTTATTGATAGTCCCCATTATGTTCATTCTTTTCTTTCTTCCTTTGCATCCTTCACATTTAACAGGAGCAGTGCAATAATTCCGAATTGACTTTTCCTGTTGATTTTCAAATGTCAGGAAGACTATCCTAGGTTGAAGTCCAGTTCTACATAATCTCATTTGGCACATGGTTTGTGGTAGTAATAAGGAATATATCCTTTCCCAGGCACATAATGTAAGGGGAAAAAAATGAAGCATCATGCTGGCTCAGATTAGAGGCCTATTCAATCCCTCACTGACTAACCAACCAACCAACCAACCAACCAACCAACCAACCTACTTATCTATCTTCCTACCTATTTCTGTGATGTTCATCAGCAGGACAAAGGGATTGCAATAGTTTTTGGTTGTGTCCCAAGTATGCCTTTAATATTGGGTCTGTGTGTCTGTGTCTGTGTGTATCTAGCATGATATAGTCACAACTGGCAATCACCTTATCCTTCAGTGTATCTACCTCTCTTGCTGTCAGGCTCAAAAAACCAAGGAAGACATGCTGAGCTACTTCTAGACAGCTTCTTTTATTGTTCTTCACCCCTAGACTAATCTCTTGCTAAAGTATTTTAAAGATATACTTTACCTTCTGGAGAGGAGCGGTCTTGGGTATCTTCCACCCAACCAGACCATCTAGCCTTCACTATCTCTTTGCCTCTGGAGTGCAGCCCCTCCCTTCTGGGAGTCTCGATTACATTCCGCACATCTGCTCAAAAATTGCTTGGTTTTGGGGGAGGTTAAACCAGCTTAACTCAGAGGCATTTCTCACTTGCAAACATGTCCCAGCAGCTTCTTCTGCAATCACTTGAGGACATCTTTGCCTTTGTCTGATCTCTTACAGCCATCAATTGGCCTCAGCTGCCCTGACGTTAATGTCTTCTCCTTTAGGAGGCAGCAACCCACATTCATTTTCAGGTGAGTACAACCTGAGGCTCTTTCTCAACCATCCCAACAATGTGATGGGGAACGCCTAGAGTTGGCACCTGTTGGTCATTTTAGCCAGGTCCCCTCTGGTCCTTGCTGGGCATCTCTTGGGATCCATCCCGGTTCTCTCCTTGTACTCATGAACTCTTCCCTGATTTGAAGAACTAGGTTAGTCTGAACAACCAACGGTGGAAAAGAATGCTTCATGGTGAAAAGAGAGAAAGAGTGGAACTCTGCCTACTTTTGTTACCTATTCAGGGTGCCTTTAAATATAATTTAGAGCAGGAATGTAACTTTTGGTAACTTTAAGACCTGTAGATTTCAACTCCCAGAATTTTTGCTGGCTGGGGAATTCCGGGAATTGAAGTCTGTAAGTCTTAAAGCTACCAAGATTGGACACTCCAGTTTTAGAGCTTTTCTGAAGTAGTCGCCAAAATATTTCCTGCTCTTGTCCATGCAAGGTGCATCCATTAGATTTGTATGCACAGGCAAACCTCCATTATGGACAAAATGTGGCCTATGACACATGTGTCACAAAGATGACATGCTACAACTATTATCCCTGTTTGAGTTACCAAAGAAACTGAATAAACAAAAAAAGAAGAAATAGGTGATCCTGCCCCACCCAGAGCTTACAATGGATTTTCACCATCCATATCCTCCTGTGACCTGTCATCCTCAGGACTGTGATTGGAAAGGAGAGCAACTTGCAAAAGAAATGCAATAGGGACATGGCAGCCATAGTTTCATTGTCTTCCAATTGCTGCATAGGGTGGCTGTTTGCACAGCGAAGCTTATTTTCAAGGCGTAAGCACAGAGGATATTTGTGATTAGTCTCCAAAACTGCACTATCAGCATTCATATGAAATCAGTGTTTGCAATTGTGTGAACAAGAAGTGCACTGAATTATACATGAATATGTAAAGAATTGTTTCTCTTGTTTGGGAGTAACACCCCAGCAGAATCAAGTTAAGCATTTTCTGAAATTTTGACATATCAAGTCCAAAGGTTTCATCACAACCACTCTCTGTGCCAGCTCAGCCAGACCATTCTCAGCCAGCTTGTGCAGACAGGGTAGGAAAAATGTGAGTTAGCTTAACTGTACTGGAAAGATTGGGACTTAAAACCTAATGGGGCATTTTATGTCTATTGAACTCATTTTAACAGAACTTGATGTTCATAATCGTTATTTATGGATAAGGATTTCTCCCAAATGTTTTTGAGTTCATTTGTCTTTTTAACTATTTCATTTGCCTTTTAACTATTAGCTCATCAGGATTCAGAGCACAAAATATTATTGAATCAACCCAATTCTATGTAGAAGAGAGACCCATGGGTACTGCTTAACTGTAAAGTTTTTGCAATTAGTCCTCAACTTATGACCACAATTGCACCCAAAATTTCTATTGCTAGGCAAGACAGTTATTAAGTGAGTTTTGCCCTAGTTTATGACCTTTCTTGCCACAGCTGTTAAGTGAATCACTGCAGTTGTTTAGTTAGTAACCCAGTTGTTAAGTGAATCCGGCTTCTCCACTGAATTTCCTGGTCAGAAGATCATGAAAGAAGACCACCAGGACACTGTGACCATCATAAACACATGACAGTGGCCAACTTTCTGAATTTTGATCATATGGCCATGGGGATGGTGCAATGGTCATGGGTCACTTTTTTCAGTGCTGTTGTAACTTCAAACGGTCACTAAACAAATGGTTGTAAGTTGAGGACTACTTATAAAACTGTTCCAGTGATCTACATACTACATTACCAATACTAAAAAGGAAGTGAGTCAAATAAGAAAAAATTCTAAGCATTTCAGATCTTCACCAGCCCCATTCAGGGGGGATATCAAGCTGTTTTTTGTTATGACTTCATTTCTTTGAATCAAGCAACCAGGACAAATTTTCTAACCTTTTACCATCCAGCTCAATGGTAAATGAAATGCCATCCAGCTCAAAGGGAATTCTTTATATGGAACATTTTTCTGTCAGTCTTACATTCTAAAACCACTGCATTTCTCAAGGGTTTCAATTTAGCTTTAGTTAAATTGTGTTATTTAAAGCAGTTTCCTGAATGTCTGATATGAAGGTGGTGGGAAAGGTCAGAGTTATTTGAAATTTTAGTGGTTCTTGACACCACAATGTCTGAGAAGTCCTGTTTTATTGGCATCACAGTAACTTGCTGTGTTTAAAATATCTTTTGACACAATACAGCTTTTTTAACGAGTTGATACATTACAGTTCTTAACTACTTTGATAGTTTTTGTTCCAAAGGTCTCACAGGAAGAGTTATTGTCAGAACTGGTTCTTGACTAATTTAGACATCACCCTTGGAAAATGCCAAACTTATGACCGAACGAAATCTGATTATTAGCTGATATCAATTGATGGCAAGCTTCCTTTTGAATGCAGCTGTGAAAAAAACTTGCTCCCAAATACTGGGTTTTGACAGATGACCAAGATTTAGCCCTCTGTCGAAACTCAACTTCACCACTGCCTGAGTCTTATTCTTTATCCTGTCCTTATCCTATCTCCTATGATGGGAGACAAGGAAAACAAAGGCAGGGAACTCCTTTAATCTTCGTCTGTGTTATGTGGTAAATATTAACAGCACTATTTGCTGACATTGTCCTTGTGGCAAGATAGAATTTGCTAGTGAGGAGTAGCATATGTTTTGCCCAGCTAGTCTCCTGCTTGATCAGAAACTGGTGGAAGGTGCCATACCTTAACCAGCAGCCTCCCATTCCCAAATATTTTCCATTAATTCATCCAAAACCAAGTTTCTAGTTTAGCCCTGTTCCTCCGTTTTGCAAAGCGGGCATGATATGCTGACTCTAAAAACTGCTTAGGGAGGGCTGAGAAGCATTGTGAAGCAGAGGTGGTATTCAACAGGTTCTGACCAGTTCTGGAGAACCGGTAGTGGAAATTTTGAGTAGTTTGGAGAACCGGCAAATCACACCTCTTACTGGCCCCGCCCCCCATCTATTCTTGGCCTCCCGAGTCCCAGCTGGTTGGCTGGGTCTCCTTTCGTTGCCCTGCACAGGAGAACAGAGCTGGAAAGCAGGTTAGTGGGGTGGGGAGGGAATGGGGATTTTGCAGTATCCTTCCCCTTCCCCTGCCACACCCACCAAGCAACGCCCACCAAGCCACACCCACAGAACCGGTAGTAAAAATTTGTGAATCCCACTACTGGTGTGAAGCGGTATATAAATCTAAGTGCCGTTGCTATTTCTATAATATCTCAGCCTACAGGTCTGTCAGAAAGATGAATGGAGGGTAATTGATATGCAGAACTCAACCTTTCAAATCAAAATTGGTTCCAGTTTAGGCTCAGCTTTTTATGCCCAAGAGAGTGTCTGTCGGACTCTGAAGCTCAGTTTGATTGTGAGGAGTTTTCTACCTGTTCAGGCCTTTTCCTGGTTTTTTTTACCCACTTTCCCATCATCTTTCTGGCTTAGACGCCCCAGCATTTTCCACGCTTGCTTTGTTGCTGGAAACTCCTCAATTTATGTGCCCAGGCATCCCTCCAGGGCAGAGCGAGGCTGTTTTTGTCAACGATTAGCCGGGCAGGGTCAGGCGACTCCTCATCGTTGCCGATGATAAGGTAAGATTTGCCCACTTGGAGGTGGAGGCACCGGCAGGCCAAATCTTGTTCTGGTACCCAGAGTGGCTGCTCTCCCCGACGGATAGGCACATGACGCTGGCGGTAGACAGCGAGGATCGAGGCTGTAAATTGCCACCATGTTCCAGATCTCTCCGTGGCTAAGAGCTGGGCCTGGAGAACTGCCATCAGGGTTGTGAAGGTGAGAGAGAGAGAGAGAGAGAGAGAGAAAAACCTATCAGGAAGTGAACTGTCACGTGATTCTGCCCTATTTCTGGAGTTATGACATCACTCCTTTCACAAGTTCTCTTTTCTCTCTCCCCCCCCACTGCCCCTCCCATTAGTGACATTTAAGACTCCAATTCGCAACCCCAAGTTGTCATCACTAGGTGGGTCATCTCTGAGAAAATCAGTGTTTCCCAGAAAATGGGTGCTTTAACAAGGATGTATCACAGGGCCTCTGCATCACCTTGTGCACAAAGATAACAGATAGCAGATAATCAAAGTTGGAAGAGACCTTATAGGTCATCTAGTCCAACCCCCCGCCCAAGCGGGAGACCCTACACCATTTCTGACAAATGGCAGTCCAATCTCTTCTTGAAAGTCTCAAGTGATGATACTCCCACAACTTCCAAGGGCAACTTCTGTTCCATTGTTGATTGTTCTCACTGTCAGAAAGTTTCTACTTATTTCCAGGTTAAATCTCTCCTTGTTCAATTTCCATCCATTATTCCTTGTCTGGCCTCCAGGCGCTTTAGAAAATAGCTTGATCAATTATCAATGTTGTATATTTCCTTTTTGTAATTATATTTCCCAGTTTGATTTTGTGGGAGGGGCACAATGTACACATAGCCCTTGACTTACAACAGTTCATTTAGTGACAGTTCAAAATCACAATGGCACTGAAAAAAGTGACAGATGACCATTTTTCACACTTACGACCATTGCAGCATTGTCACGTGATTGAAATTCAGATTCTTGACAACGGACTCACCTTTAAGACAGGTGCAGGATCCCAGGATCATGTGATCATATTTTGTAACCTTCTGACAGGCAAAATCAAGGAGGAAACCCCTTACGAGTTACAACCTTTATACTTGACAAGTCAAAAATTCAGAAAATGCTTAACTTGATTCTGCTGGCGTGTTAGCTCCGCACAAGAGAAACAATTCTTCACAAATTGATTTATAATTCAATATACTCCTTGTTTAACAAATGCAAATGCTGATTTCGTACAATTGCTGATAGTGCAATTTAACAATTGCAGTGATTCACTTAACAGCAGTGGCGAGAAGGGTTGTGAACTGGGGCAAAACTCACTTGACAAATGTCTCACTTAGCAACAGAAATATTGGTCTCAATTGTGGTTGTAAATCGAGGATTATCTGTAGAGCATGATCACTTCCCCTGGTTGATCATTCCAGTTGCTTTTTTGATTAGTTTTGCAAGCAGTGAAATGATGGGCAAGGAAATGAGATATGGTGCATCAGTTTGGCATACAGGTAGTCCTCGCTTAATGTCCACCATTGGGACTGGCAACTCCATCACTAATTGAAGCAGTCACTGTGACAGACCTACAGCCTCCATTTTGCCACTGTTGTTAAGCAGATCCACGTTGTTAGCCAAGACATCACGTAACCTGCAATTTTAGGGCCGGCTTCTCCATTGACTCTGCTTATTGAAATCTGGCTGGGAAGCATGAAAATAGCAACCACATTAACTACAGGAAGCTGCAAAGGTCAAAACCTCTGGCTTTTCATGGTGCCCAAATCTCAGTCATGTTCTATAACGGTCAAAAAAGTGAGGACCAGTTATAGTTATTTTTTTCAGGAGTGTCATAATTTTGAGTGGTTGCTAAACAAGATAGTTGTTAAACAAGGATTACCTGTAGTGATTGAGGTAGTTGGAATGGGGATTCAGATCCAGCCTCAGCCGTGAATGCTGCCTGCATAGCTTTGGGCCAATACTACACATCAGCAAAGTTTGCCCCTTGGGTTTTTCTCACGGGAAAAAACAACAACTTCAGAATAGATTACAGGTATTCCTTGACTTATGACCACAATTGAGTCCAACATTTCTGTTTTTAAGCAGGACTGAATTGTCCTTTTTTGGGGGGGGGGCACAATTGTAAAGCAAATCACTGCCGTTGTTATGTGAACCATGCAGTTTAAGTGAATTCGGCTTCCCCCACGGACTTTGCTTGTCAGAAACCAGCACGGAAGGTCACAAAATCACAAGCTCACATGACCCCAGGACAGTGCAACTGTCATAAATACATGCCAGTTTCCCACTACCCAAATTTTAATCACCTGACCATGGGGATGCTACAACTGTCGTAAGTGTAGAAACTGGTCATAAGTTACTTTTTCCACTGCCACTGTAAGTTCAGAGGGTCACTAAATGAATGGTTGCAAGTCAAGGACCAAATGTACTTGTCTTGAGTTCCTGCAAGAAAAGGTGGAATCTGAAATAAATAATAAACTTTACCGTAATCCTTCTTGCAATAGTTCTTCAAGTTCATGTGGACACGCCTTTGTGGTGGTGTGCAATGGCTCTGACATTCAGTACCTGGTGAACAAACAACAAACAACAGATGGGAGGGATAAATCATTCTTTTGGGCAATATTTGACCGCAGTTAACACCTGCTATTTCCCTCACATAATATTTTCACCGGAGCAAGATTAGGCAACCTGTTGTTCTCCTGGCATCTCAGATGCTATCTGGAGCTTATGGGAGTTGTCCAAAAGATGTTGAAAGCGCTGGACTACCTGGCTTAGCTGCCAACTGGATTGGAGTGTCTTGCTACCTTGGAGCAAGACACGGTTTCCCTTGTGCAATTCCTCCTATAAATTCTTAAGTTGAGTGTCAGCCCCACTAGATATACCAGAGATGGAAATCAATTTGAATGGATGGCTGAAACAGAACAGGCTATAAAACAGGGGCCTCCAACCCCCAGGCTGCGGGGCCAGTGGTAGTATTCAATTTCTTTTACTACTGGTTCTGTGGGTGTGGCTTGATGGTGTGGTGTGGCTTAGTGGGTGTGGCTTGGTAGGCATGGCAGGGAAAGGATACGTCCCTCCCCACCCCACTTAGCCTGCTTTCTAGCTCCGTTCTCCTGTGCAGGGCAACCAAAGAAGACCCAGAAGATCAGCTGGAACTTGGGAGGCAGAGAATAGATGGGGGCGGGGCCAATCAGAGGTGGCATTTGCCAGTTCTCCGAATTACTCAAAATTTCCTCTACCGGTTTTCCAGAACTGGTCAGAACCTGCTGAATACCACCTCTGGTTGTGGCCCATTCAGAACTGGGCTGCAGAAGTGGCAGGCAAGCGTGTGCATGCAGCTCCGTTTGTGCGAGTGGTAGGCGCAAAGCCAGAAACGTTGGAGGCTGCTGCTATAAGAATCTTGCAAGTTTGTGCTGTACCTCATCCCTCTTCTTATACTCCGGAGAATCAGGGAGGTGTTTGTTTAGGCTGCTTTTGAATGTTATATGGACACTGTGGAGTTAAAGAATGCTTTTAGCTCAGTGCTTCGCAACCTGTAGTCTGCGGATCCCTGGAGAACCATGATGTCATCACAGGGGGCCTGTGAAAGTTTGAAGTAATGTTATGATTTAAATCTTGAGTTAAGTTTTGGGGGTCCATGGCCACAAAAGATATTTAAAGCGGCTCCACAGTGAAAACCATTGCTTTAATCTGTTTTGTTTACCAGCAAAGCCTGCATAGTTCTGTGAACATCAACTTCCTTATTTTTTGTATTGATTATGATTTGCATTTTTAGAGATGAAAAGAGCTCCTCCTATGGGGATATGGTTTTCCAATCCTTTTAAAAGAAAAATTAAAGTGATTTCCTTAGGGGAAAAAAAACAGTACCCATGTTTCCCAGAAAAGAGGACCTACCCTGAAAATAAGCCCTAGATTGATTTTCCCAAGCTGAATATAAATCCTATCCCTAAAGTAAGTCCTACTTAAGAGCCTGTGCTGCCAGCCATCTTCCCATTCTGTCTGGTTGCTGCCGGCATGAGGCAGGGTGATAGAGGAGGATGAAACGAGGTGGTGGGATATATGGAGAATAGTAGAAGACGACTTTTCATCCAGGCACCTTACTTCCTGCCTTTTTTTGTCTTCTCCCCCTTGCCTCCTGCTTCATTTCAGCGGCGAAAAAAATAAGATTTCCCCCCCGAAAATAAGCTCTGGTGCTTATTTTGGGGAAACTTATTTTCAGGGAAATATGATATTTAAACCCTCTCTTCTTACCTGCTTTCCATTCCTGCGGTGGGATAACTGTAGTTGTCACCTCCTCCTGGATACCTAGAGAAGGTAAGATGTAGAATAATAGATTTGGTATGATATTGTCAAAAGCTCAGCGCTGGGCTTCCCGGCTTCCATGACATCAGTCCCCTTGAGAAGAGATGTGAGTATGCTATGCCCTGTGATTGTCTCATTCAGCCTGCCTTGTAAGAAAGATCAAGGCTTTACTGGAAAACACGAACTCACTTCCAGATTTAGAAATCGGGAAACAATATTTTATTTTATAGAAGGATGTGCTAGAAGGAGGAGCGGGAAGAATTTGCTGTTAATCCTGATTGTATGCTACATGAATAAAAATTAACAGATTTTATGGGTTTTATACATGGGCATATGGAACAATTTTTTATTTATTTATTTCCATCCCACCTCTGTTATTTTATAAATAACTCAAATTAGTGAACATATCCAACCTTCCTCCTCCTATTTTCCCTACAACAATAACAACAACCCTGTGAGGTTGTGCTGAGAGAGACATTTAATGTCACCCAGCAGGCTTTCATGGTTAAGGCAGGACTGGAATTTATAGTCTCTCACTTTCTAGACTTGTGCTTTAATCACTAATCACATGGGCAATATACAGTGTATATATAGGTACTCCTTGACTTACAACCACATTTGGGATCAGAATTTCTGTTGCTAAGCAAGGTGGTTGTTAAATGTCATGCCACCCACAGTTGTTAAGTGAATCATGTGGTCATTAAGTGAGTCTAGCTTCCCCCATCAACTTTGCAGATTGGAAGCCAGATGGGGAGGTTGCACATGACTCTTGGACACTGCAATTATTATAAATACATGCCAGCTGCCATATGTCTGAATTCTAACCACGTGATTATGGGGATGCTGTGACAGTTTTAAAAACAAAGACCTGTTGTAAGTCATTTTTTTTCAGTACTATTGTAACTTTGAATGGTTGCTAAACATTTGATGAAATGAATAGAATTGAAAGAATGACAGCTTCTCTACTTAATTTTTTTTCCTTAAGAAAATTGTAATTTTGCACTGGAGACCAAATATACAGTATATACAAAGAGAGCATGAGATAAACTCAAGGCATATGGAATGATGAATGGTTATTATCTACCATCCAACTTCCATCTTTAGAGACGGCCTATGTTTGATTTGCAGCTTTTTAATTTTATATTGTATGTATGTATGTATATATGTATGGTATTCAGCTTTGTTCAGGTATTTTCTCACGTGATTATAGTTGTGCTTTTAAGCCTGATGATGGCAGATAAGATTCTGCCGAAACGTTGCTACAACTTTAAAAGCACAACTATAATGATGTGGGAAAATACCCGAACAAAGCCGAATACCATACATATAAATACCCATGAAAACTTTGTCTGGATATATATAAGTCTGGGTATACCCTTTGTCTGGGTATATATATATATATATTTGTTTTCTGAGGTTCTCGCGGGTATTTGTATGTGGATCTTTGGTTGTTCGGGTTTTCTCCCGCGTAAGATTCGAAGTATCTAGGCAACGTTTCGATGAAATCTCATTCATCATCTTCAGGCTTCTGTCTCCAGCTCTGTGCTTCTCAGAGTAATGAGTAAAGTAATTACTCTCTATATATATCTCCACCATTCTTCCCAGGCCCTTAGTGTTTGTATAGACATTATTTCCCCACCTTATTTGACGAAGTTGTAAGAGGGTTACTAGGCCAATTGAGTTTTATGCTAGAGAGGAGAGAGTTCCCAGTTATGTTTCTTCCCAGACTGGTGGTCTAACCACCAGGGGCCTCCATGGTAAAAAATAGAAAGAAAGAAAGAAAAATCAAGATGGCGTCTTTTGCTGTGTGATTGGCATTCTAGTTCTTTTTTATGTGTGCTTCATGGCCCTGCTAACCACTCTAAAATGACAACAATGATTTTATGGCATTCCCTGAAGCCTTTGGCTTACAAATTTAAGAAACCGGAAACTAGAATCTGTAGATTTTTGGCCTCTTGGTCCTTCTTCCCTGTTGACCCAGGGCAGAGGCGTTTCCCCAACTTGGTGCCCTACAGATGTAATTGGACTGCTAAACCTATGCTTATCTGGGCATAGGGATATGCCACTTGGAAGCTGCCAGGTCGGGGGAAGTTGCACCCAGATGTCCCATTGTCAAACTGGCCCCAAGAAATGAATTGCTGTCCAGATATGAACTGGGATGTCACAAAAGAGTGAACGTGGGAGGAAGTTAAAGGAAGAAGAAAGCTTACGAATACAGGGTATGTGAGCGCTGCGGCTTTGCTGGAAACCCCGGGCACATCGATTGCAGGTTAGACCGGTGACTCCGTTCTTGCACTGGCACTGCCCAGTGGTCTGGTTGCAAATGGCCCCAGTAGCCCCAATAGGATGACACTGGCAAGCTGGAAAGAAAAAAGAGAAGTTATGGGAGGGGAATAACCGTACCTGGCCATCTCTACAATAATCTATGCATCCTCCTTTTTGGGGGTTAAAAAAAGGTTTGCATTGATCTACAGGACTGTGAACTTTCTCAGTGCTGTGGCTTTAAGAGAGAAAGCTCCACAGCTCCCTCTCTTGACCATAGTGACTGGATTCACACATCGTAGTAAGTCATGGCTTTGCTTTTTTTAACCATAATTTGCTGACAAGTCTCTGTTGCCTAGATTCAGATGCTGCTCTAAGCCATTAAAATAGGATTTCCAATGGATTCCCTCATCGTGCTAGGTCATAAACAAGCATTAACAAAATATCATGTCTCCATTAATACAACAGCAAAACTAAAAGCAAACGAAGTGCCCATAGTAAAGAATGTATCCTAGCTTTTTTACTCAAGGGAATCTAAAAAAGAACTACCATGAAAATTCTCATCTCTCTCACGACACTACATTTCCCAGGGTTCATAGCAAAGGAAATCCTGATCACTACATCAGCCTTAGAGGCAAGGGAATAAGCTTAAAGTATTTAGAAGGAAACTCAGCAGGTCTTGATAGAAAATATGAACTTTATGCAGAGTGGGTTTTTGTTTTTTGCATGTAACCAGTTGCATGCAATCCTTATTCAAATGATTTTGATCTCTGTATAGATTCCAGGGGTGTTCCAGGGGGTCCAAAAAGTTACAATGGTGGCTATAATAATCAGAGATGGTATTCAGCAGGTGTTGACCAGTTCTGGAGAACCAGTAGTGGAAAGTTTGAGTAGTTTGGAGAACCGGCGGTAACCTTCCCCTTGGAAAGGGGAGGGAATGGAGATTTTACAGTATCCTTCCCCTGCTACGCCCACCAAGCCACACCTACCAAGCGGAACTGGTAGTAAAAATTTTTTGAATCCCACCATTGATAATCATGTGATCAAAGCCCCACCCCATTTAAGGGCAAGGCTTTGATTGTATGGACCCTTTTTCAACCCTCTCCTTCTTGTGAGAATTTCAGGGAGTTCCTGACTGAGTGTTCGGGTATCCCAGATTTCACATTTCGGAGAGGATAATACATCAATTTTGGTTTTGCAACGATGCCCCTCTTTTTTCCAGGTATTGTAACCCATTTCCTAAGCATGTTGGAAACAAAAACTCCATATTGTAAACAATTAGGGAATCGGTTTGTTCTAATGATTCAGGCATCAGGCACCAGAAACAGGGAGACGGTGAATTCTAGCTCCACCTTAGACATGACAGCCGGCTGGGTGACTTTCGGCAAATCACCAAGAGATAGTGAGTTCTAGCTCCACCTTAGGCGTGTAAGTCAGCTGGGTGACTTTTGGCCAGCTGAACCCACCTCACAGGACTGTTGCTCTGAGGGAGATGGGCATAGGAAATTACCAAGTTGAGCCATGGGAGGAGTCAAATGCATCACCAATCTTGAGTCCCTTGGTACCCACAAGAGATCTAAGTCTAGCCGACCTTGAATTCCATGGACTCTTCTCTTGCTTTGATCATTAGTAGTTCAGATTCTTGTAGAGAACATCTTTGCAACAAACTTTTATATTCATTGGAACTGCCTGGACTTCCTGAGCCTGACAATGGGCGGTTAAAAATATGAAATATAAACAAACAAACAAATAAAATAGGAGGAGGACAGAATATTAGGTATGTTCTCCACCTTCAGCTAATTATAAAGCAATAAAGGCAGGATTTTAAAAAATCTTGCTTATTGATTAAAAACTGAAACCCCCTGGGTGATAAAGGTGCATTTGCAGGATAGGGTTAAAAAAGCCAAGAGCTGATGTTTTTATGTTTTGTCTGTTTGTTTGTATGTCAAAAAACAATAAAAAAATTTTTTTAAAAAAAAAGCCAAGATGACAATTGTAACTGTGTGATTGAAGCTCTACTCCTTTTTATAGGTGACACTTATTCCCTGGACATAAAAAAGAGCAGGCTTTGGTCATATTCACAAGGCCGCTATCTTGGTATTTTTGTGATCTCTTCTGGCAAGGATGCTCTGGGTTACGGGACCTGACCCACCTTTGCAGACTCTGTGGCTGGTGATGGGGTGGCTGAAGTCGCGCTTAAAGCCTGGTGAGCAATACTGGCAGTGGCGCCCGGCTGTGTGGTGGCGACAGTTCAAGCAGATCCCTCCGCTCCGGCGCCCCGAAAGTTCGAAAAGCTCCATGCTGAAGCGGCAGCGATGGGAATGGTGGTGGCAGTTGCAGGCTGAGGACACAGAAAGGGAATTTATCAGTTCAGGCTGCTTTCTCCGTTCATGCCCAAAACCTCTTTCTACCCCTCCTCCATTGTCCAGTATGCCCAGACCTGCAAGCCAGAGGGGTGTCCGGAGGGATGGACTGGGTCAAGAAATCCCGATGCTGACTGCAACAGAGTGATCAAACCCCAGTTCTTATTTTACATGCAGTGCACAGCTACCTAGGTTATCTCGCCTGCCCCAATCTTTGTGACTTTCCAGAAATCCCTTAGAATGGTTTTTTTCTCCTCAAGAGGCCTGGAAATCCCCTCGGAAGAAAAATCATGTATGCTGGTTGCTGATTCTAACTCTCTCACGATCTTGTTTTTATTCATGTTAATGAATGCAGTTGTTTTAAGCCAGGGGGTCTCCAACCTTGGCAACTTTAAGACTTGTGGACTTCAACTCCCAGAATTCCTCAGCCAGCAAAGGAATTCTGGGAGTTGAAGTTCACAAGTCTTAAAGTTGCCAAGGTTGGAGACCCCTGTTTTAAGCAATCTGTAAAACAGGTAGTCCTCGGCTTATATAACCATTCATTTAGTGGCTATTCAAAGTTACAATGACACTGAATATGTGTCAATCCTTCCCCCTGCAATTGTGGCAGCGTTCCCCTCAGTCATGTGATCAAAATTCATGCATTTGGCAACCAGCATGAATTTACAATGGTTGCAGCATTCTGGGGACACGGATGACTACATGCAACCTTCCCAAGTGGCTTCTGACAGGCAGAATCAATGGAGGAAGCTGGATTTGCTTAACGACCTCACTCAATAACTAGAGATCTGCTTAACAACTGCGGCAAAAAAGGTTGTAAAATTGAGCCTGTCAGAAGCTGCCTTCCTTAGCAACAAAAATTCTGGTCCCAATTTTGGTTGTGGGTCTAGGATTACTTGCATTGTTGACATGGGGAGCAAGCAAACTTAATAAATACACATTACCTACATGTGTTCGATGGGTTGCCGTATAGATTTGATAAATATATAAAGAATAAAGAAATAAATAGGGCCGAGCTTTGATCCTATCACAGCCACCCTCTGGCCTTTTTAAAAAAACTTTTCCCTGTGAACAACCCTCCAATGTTAGGAATTTTTGTCCCCACAAATAACAATCATCAAATGCTTTAAATGATTAGCAGTTCACTTCTTGTGAGTCCCAAGAAATCCTTGGTGCCCCTAGGTGGCATCAAAGGAATCCTCAAATAAATCGAAAAGTGGATCACAGTGTTTTTGAAAAAGGGCCAAAAACTTCCATGTCACAATTTGGCCATTCTTCTTCTTTTTTAGGGATCTCTTAAAATGCAGAGAATTCATGAGATGTTGGAAATTCTTTAAAAAAATTATCCGGGCGGGGAGGGAATCTGAAAAGGTGGCTGGCCCCTATCCTAAACAAACCAACAGCAGGATGGATGGGATTTATTTATTTTTTTCTGAATAAGGCTTGGAAAGGTGCCCAATGGCAAAATCTTTCCAGGCTGGGAAAAACCACGTGCGAATGGGGCTTTATTTCTGCAGAATTCCAAAGACCAGATCCCAGCTCTGCACAGACCAAGTCCTCAGCCATGGGTGCTCTGTCTCCCCTACAGTCTCACCCACACATTCATGAGCATCTTTGGGGGTTGCCCGTTGCCAGGGCCTATCCCAGTAGAAAGTTTTGCAGGTGTCACATTCAGGGCCGGCTGTGTTGTGCCGACAATCACACTGAGGTACCCCTCCGTCTTTCCCAGCTGTGCACTGTGAGGCATGTCCATTGCATTTACATCTGCCTCCGACCTGCAGCTCAGCTACTCCATAGGAGGCCTCTTTCCGGCGCATCCCCAAAATCCGGGCTGAGTGCATGTGGTCAAAGGACACACGGAGGTCAGTAGCGGTCACCCAGTCTTGGAGGATGGGACTATATTCGAACCTCTGGGCCGAAGGGCGGCCTGCAAGAGGCATGAAGGCCACTAGGCCTCCTGTGAGGGGCTTGAGTGATGTTTGAGCCTCGATACAAACTGCTTCATGCTCCATGCTTTTCACAATGGTGGTGGTTGGCGGCAGATGGTAACGCCGCCAGCAGCGGCTGGAAAAGAACTGAAAAGGCATCCAGCTGCGTCCGTAGTCCATGGACTTGTAAATGGCCAAAGATTCCGGTCGTGGAGAGCAGAACCGCAGAGTCACGTAAAGGATTTCCATTCGTCGGCCCAAAGCCAAAGTAAGCGTGGCGTTGGCTTTGGGCTTAGACCACCAACATGTTGTATCCCCGTCGCTGTCTGTGAGGTGCTCTGACCGGTGGGTATGTTCTTGGCATCCTTGGCAGAATTTGGAACCTGGGTTGGCCGAATCCCGAAAGGCGCAGAATCGTCCAGGAGGACCGCTGCACGTACTGGAGGCTTCCACCAGACGGCCTGAGGCCAGTTCGGACAGGTCAGGCAGGCAGAATTGTGGGTGCTGATTGGCATTGTAGCAAGGATCGTGAGGGTTGGGAGTTTGTCCCAGAAGGAACGGAAGGAAAACTGCAACACCCCATGGGAAGTGAAGCATCTCTGGGGAAAGGTGTCAGGAGTCAACAGCTCATCACCTGGAAGATGAGAAGGTATTAACTGATATGAAAAAAAAAGAGAGCGATGGACAAAAAATATTCTGTTCTTCCCCGCCCCTTCTTCCTATCTTCTACCTATTGTTTCCAAAGACAATAGAGGGAGAAAGGGAGAAAGAAAGAGAGTGAGGGCGCGCGAGAGAAAGTGTGTGTGTATGTGTGAGAGGGAGGGAGAGAATGAGAAAGTGAGAAAGAAAAGAGTGAGAGAGCATGAGAGAGAGAGAAAGTGAGTGAGAGAGAGGGAGTGAGAGAGAGAGAAAAAAGAGGGAGGGAAGCTAAGGCTCATATGATAAAGATATGGAACTATGGTTCTGAAGATGTTTTGATAATGGTAAAGCTACACAAATTTGTGCCTGTTGAGGAGTTTAGCTGCCATATCCCCAGCCAATACATTTAAAGTATTCTGTGGGTGGTCAATGCCCATGGTTTTCTCACCTCAAAAGTTGTTAAAGCACCTGCTCTGTGCCCTCTGATCATTTGTACCACACTAATTCACACACATGGACATCTGCCCCCTACGCTCCTGCCTCTTATCTCAACAACTTTCTCTAGTGGCGAACGCAAGCCCAAGAGTCAAGCAGATGAAGATTTAGTGAGCATGAGAAAATAGCTTTAAACTCCCTTTTCGCAATTGAGGCATGGATGGGAATTGGCACAACACAAGGGCCTGGGAGGCAGGATATGGAGGTGTCAGGAGAGACCACAGAAATTGGGTAAACAAGAAGTTGCTTTTGGTCTTGCATATGTTGGAAAGGATGTTTTAACCATTCTAGGAGAAATAACATCTGAAGAGGAATTTTGGATTAAGGAGTAGCTATTTGTGGATTATAATAAATTGAAATTCTGAATTTTGTCTGTATTCCAGCATGCTGGACGGTTGAGTAAACCTATTGGTTTCTCAAGGGGATCACAACCACTGCAATTCTGGACCAAAAAATTAAGAGAGTGAGAGATTTAGAGGAACAGCATCTCTTGTCAATTGAGCATCTCCTGGTCTCAGAGCGATACATTCATAGCAATGCTCAAGTTTGGGAACATGTGTCCTTCAAAGAAGAAAAGTCATGGATTCTTGTTCTGTCCAGCCAGTGTATGGGGATTGGATAGGTAGGTAGCAATTGTGAGCTGTTCCCTTAAGGGAATGCATCATGGTAAATGTAGTTAAGGTATCCTGGGAAATGTAGTCCATGTCATGTGACCACATCTGTAATCCTAATTGGTCACTAAATTGACCCTCGATGGGTTGGGGGAGTTTTCCTCACTCTTGACTGAACTCATGGACTCGTGGTAACTGTTCTACTTCAATTGTTACAAGATGGGAGAAAAGGGATAGGAGATAAACCATCTTTTTACCTACAAGACAGATATGCAAAGGATTGGTCATTAAAGAAGAACTTTGTCACAAATGTGAGTTATGAGGATACCTGATGGACCAATAAAAGTACTTTGTTATGGATGTTTTGTGGAGTTTATCTATCTGCATCTGTACATGATACAGAATAGTAAAAAATATGATGGTTATTTGAAGTCCTGAAGCCCATCGGTATAAAGCCTGTTAATTTGGATTGGTGATGAAGCAAAGTAATGTTGAAGCCAGGAGTGAATGTGGAATGCTAAGCTCTGTGCCTCAGTTTGAATTGCAGGGAGGGGCAAGAATCTCCCCTTCCCCTTTTATGCAAGAGACTTTTCAAATATCCTATGCTTTGGCTTTCAAAGGCAATCAAATTTGCCTCCTTCAATCCTTTTTTTCTCTTTCTTTACTGAGGCAGGATTCCTTTGTCTTTGTATCAAGCCAGGAAGGGGCAAATTCCCCCTCCTTTTCTCTTCAGTGAAAGAAGTGCTGTGTCTCAAATTACAACTCTTAATTCAGAAAGAACCAATTTGTAAAAGAAAGGGAGGGGCCAAGTATATCATATCCATCCCTGTATTCATCCAATTACAAACCCTTTCCAAATCCAATGAGAAAGTTTCAGAAATCTTGCTGGCATTTCTAGAAAGGAAAACTAACTTTGCCTTGCTCATTCCAGCTGAAAGGTTTTGCATTTTTCCAGCCCAGAGGCAATAAGAGAAGCCTCTCCAGCTATTTTTACAACTACTCTGGCCGTTTTATTGGGGGTCATAATTCATTACTGACCATCTTCAAAGCAAAGAAGGCTAATCCTAGCAACGTTTTAAAAAGGAACAATTTCTCTTTCTATTCAAAACCTTAAAATTTCTTCATGTTCCCATATCTTTATTAAACAATTAAAAAAATATATAACACTGCAACCAAACCTTTGGAGTGTTGTATTCGATTGATTGGTTTTTCTTCCAGCAAGGAAACAATAAATTCCTCTGGAGTTCACCCCCACCCATAGACTCAAGCAAAGCAGCCCACAACACCATCTGGTGGTCAAGGAGAAATTTCCCAGAGTTTACCAATACATGCTTGCAATGATAATCCCTTTTTGCAATTATTGTGGACAATTTAATCAATTTAATTCAAATGTTCCAAGATTAACTGCAACCTAACAGACCTAAGCAAAGCAGCCCACAGCTACATCTGAGGCTCAAGGAGAAATTTCCCAGAGTTTGATTTTTTGTTTTACACAGTTTCTCAAATTTGACCAGAGTGTTTATCAAATGATAATCCCTTTTTGCAATTATTGTGGACAATTTAATCAATTTAATTCAAGGTTCCAGGATTAACTGAAACCTAACATGGGCGTAGCAACTGTGTCTTCCATGCATATTTCTGCGTTTAGCCACCCAGTCTTCCGACTTTGCTACTCAACCTTTACTGCCACTTTGTGGAGCAAGTGACACTAACAGGCATATTTCTGCGTTTAGCTTCCAAGTCTTCAGACTTCGCTATACAACCTCTAGTGCCCCCTTGTGTAGCAATCACACATCGCACCCTAGAAAATGCCATACTGTGTGCTGTGCTAGCTTCACTCAGACTCTGCAGCACCACCTACGTGCTCAAGTTTTAAATCCAACAGCAATTCTACTTTCTGCTACCTGCTTGCAGTGCACCCTAGTACAAAAAAAAGGGAATTACATGGAAAATCACTAAATTTTCCAAAAGTCACCTTTTACCAATTTGAAACATGGCAACTGCTTCAGTCGTGATGGATGTCTCTGAAGTACCAGAGGACTTGAACCCTTCACCCATGTTGGATGTCCCTGAAGTACCAGAGGACTTGAACCCTCCACCCACCCTTGCTGTAAACATGGAGCCTGGTTCCTGAAACTCAGTTTCAGATGTCCAAATCTCTACAGAAGCGGCGATACCTCCGAAAGCCTATGACCTCAGAAAGAGTAAGAAGCTTACCGAACCCATGGAAGAACAATTGAGGAACGATTGAAAGAAGCAATATTGCCGCTACGCAGACTCCTGGGCAGAGCTTGAGAAGATCTGTGACACCCCAAAACACAAGCTGCCCCCCCCCCAAGAAACTCTGCACATTGCTAGTTGATCTAGATGCCCTTCTCGCACGGTGGAGATGCAGCGAAGACAACCTCAACTCCATCCAGTCAAGACTGAGTGACCCAAACTCCTACAACACATCCAATGCTTCGAGGAGTTTCACAAGGAATGCAAAGACTGTGTCGAGGCAAGCAAGACAGACCTCCAGGCAGCACTCCACAATGTGCTTCGGCAGGAAGTAGCATCAAGGGAGCAGGCCACATCCGATATAGCTCCTCGATCACATGTGTCTTCTTCCCACCACTCTAAGAAACCCTCCTCCCTCTATCCCAAATCAGCTAGATCGCAGGCAGGTTCCAGTGTCTCGTGCCAGTTCTCTGCTGCCAGCTCTCACCATCCTTCCAGAGCATCCTCCCATCATAGCAGCGCATCTAAGGCCTCCAAGGCAGCCAGCTACACCAAACGAGCTGTAGAAGCCCAAGTTGAAGGTGCAGCAGCAGAGGCAGATTTACGTATTACAACAGAGGTGATACAGCAGAAAGCTGAAATGGCCAAAGCTCAGGCCCAAGTGGAGTTACTCGAATGACAAAGAGAGACGGCAGTGAAAACAGCACAAGCTGCAGCATGGCAGAAGGTGGCCAACACTGCCTCACTCAACTTTGACCTCGAAGAATTGGGAGAAGAGAGCCCAGATACACGGGTCAAGGCTATGTGGATGAGCTTCAAAATGAGCAGGTGGAACTGTCTCTAATACCTAGAAGTCTCCTGCCACCAAGGAAGTACAGGGAGGAATCTCAACCACAGACACTACACATCAGTTATGCAACTGATGTTGCACGACCTAAAGTACAAGATTCACTTCCCACCAACAGCAAACCTTCCCCAACTGATGTTGTACATACCAAGGTCCAAGATTCTCTTCCCAGCACCAGCAACCCTACTCCAACATCTCATGGCCTGCCAGGTGAGCAAATTAGCCCACCAGTGATCACGATGACACCTGCCACACTCAATCCACAAGCAGTACCATTCCAGCCATAACCTCCACACCACTCGAGCTCACAGGCACAACAAGATAACCGCAGCCAGCCTACACAGCAGCATGAAGCTGCATCATCACCTCTAGAATGGCAGAACGACATCCTCCGTAAGCACTGGGAGGAAGGCTACAACCCATCGTTGACATACAACTCGAACCTACCCTCTATGTCAATGCCTCAACCCAACTCCACAGATGATGCTGACTACTGGAGAGAGTTGGCAGTAAGCAGAGGAAAGCTAGATTTGTCTGCTAAGGGTGTACACAAATTCTCTGACGAATATCTCATATGGTGAATATCTCCTATGGAAGAAAGTTTTCCTGTACCCCATTCAGGCTGCACAGCTGAAATCCAATGAAATACTCATAGACTTGACAGCATGTCTAGGATTGCAGTCTGCCAGAGATACAAAGGCACTTTATGCCTCCCACTTAGATGACCCAGATGCTGCCGTATGGTTGTCATGGCAAAGACTCGACAATTTGTACAGCATTGCCTC